CAATCAATTTTCATTTATGAATAATAAAGCTGAACACCACACAGACTTTAAACAAGTCTTGACATTTGCTTTACATGCTGTGAAAGGACCTGCAATATAGGAACTCAGATGTATTTTGAGACAGACAGAAAGGTAGAAATTAAAATCAGTTGTGGCAAAATTGCCCTGAAAATGTTCTATCCCAGCACAATTCCTCTTTCACTGTGCTAGTTCATTTTGCTGCAATCCTACAGTCAGATCTGGGCAGGCAGATTCCTACCACCTCATGTGAAAATTTCTGTAAATAGTGGGTGAAGTTAGGCAAACAGATAATTCTTTGCAGGATCAGGGCCATAAAAACTGAAATTTTGATGCATAATATTTGTACATACAGTTACACATACAATATTTATACATAAATGTCATTCGTTATGTTTTTCCTTCCTAAGCTGCAAACTCAATGCAACAAAAATCCTGGCAGTCTCACCTCTCTTCCTAGCAAATTTTTAATAGCTGCTTCTGCAGTGATATCTCCTCTTACTATGACTTCACCGTTTTTACAAAATAAACTAAATATAATTTACTAGTATGTTTTGAAGTACCATAAATAATTAAACAAACAATGCTGTCAAAATAAATTTTGAAAAAGGGCACATTTTCTGATGATAAACCCTTGTTTTTTACATTTTATCATTTTCACTTATTTTCTTAGTCATATACAAAATCCAACCAGCTTTCTAATTGGTCCTAATCTGAAATTTTGAAATTTTGAAGAATATATAACTCTGATCCTTGAATTTGCACCCACAGGCAAGCTAAGCTATGAATGAGTCAATCAACATACTAAACCTGGTTAAAAATACTTTGTGTTTGGACAAAATACATTTGTAATAGCTTTATCTGCCACCGCTTTAGTTCTCTATAAACACACACAGGCAGGCATGGGTACCTATGCGTAGTGCCAAGTCCAAGCCCAAACAAGGTGTGATTGAAGAATCTTGACAAAACTTCCTTTTTAAGGGAAGATTTACACTCCTGGGTGATCTTTCTGCTCACCATTTGCGTTAGAAAGCTTTGAGTGGGTCAAGTATGCAAGGCTTTTCTCCTTGACTATGAAAACAAGAACCCGTTCCCCTCCCTGGATGCACACATAACGACAACGCAGGGTTCTCACACAATTCTCCCTGATCTGGTGGCTGAAGTATTTAGAAAATAAATGAGAAAATTATACGACTTCGCAGCACCAAACATGGCTCCTGCCCCAAAGTGAGCTAGGGCAATGATGAGTGGGGGGAAAGATGCAGAGGGACAGTTTTCTGAGTCCAGGGCAGACAAGAGATGCCCCACATGTGCCCTGGCACCTGTGCTTGGGCAAAGAGGCGCGTGCCCTAGGTGGGGATAGGAGCTCTCCTTACTGCTGATTTTAAGCCAAGTTTCTCCAACAAGAGTTTTCAGCTGTTTGTAATATTGCCTAACTTTTAGTCCATTAGTTTGACATTTTTAATCTGAGTATCCGAATCAGGGTAATTTTATGTTTAAAAAATACACACACACACAGAAACACTGTATAATCTACAGGTATGTGTAGAGGTATCTATTCACACACATACATATGCACGAGAGAATTTCTGAAGGTAGTATCTAACTTCATCTTTTCCTAATCTCTTTATGTAGATTTCTCAGTGAAATTAATTAAAATATTTACAAAAATATCTAAACAATGCATTATTAAATTGATAGGGTCCAGCAGACCCATTTTAGCACTTTTTTAACAATTTACTAAAAAAAAATCATTATCCGCAAGTTTAAGTTGCAATGAACAGATGGATGACAAACGTATGCACAGATGAATTTAGTGACAAATCCATGTATCTAATTTTTATGCTCCAAACATAATACCACAGTGTCAAACATAATCCCTAGAGAATTCTAGTGCTGCGAAGGGCACCTCCTCTCATTTTACTATAAAAATGACCCTCGATCGGTGACAACTCCATCTAAGCTACTCCCCGTGACAATAAGCTCTCTGACCTCAATGTGTAGCAGTGTTGCTAAAAAAAAAAAAGGCAAATAAAAATCGTGCCTTTCTAATAAAGAGACCCTAATACCTGGCTGAACTGTAAGCTTCTAGTTGCTCACCCTACGCCAGTTAACAGAGAGCTAGCTCCCTGCTGACTTCAAAAGCCTGGCCTTTTGCAATTGAGGGAAGACCTTTGTAACGTTTCTGTCAAGAAAAAAGATGTCAGGACATCCCTCTCCATGGCATAGGTGGAAAAAAAAAATTAAATGTGATGCTGGAAAGAAATAGAAACATCATCTCTTCCTGCTTCAGACCTTGCTTTTCCCCGTATCTGGCAGCAAAGCAGAAAGAGTTTGGAGTCAGCTATACTGTCTGTCACCTCAACAGGATCTGTAATGAATTTGCACATTTTACTCCAACTACTGTATATCTAATCAGAAAAAGATGTCCCCATATCTCCCTGATCTAGCGCCAAATAGTAAAAGGTGATTCCTTATGTTAACAATTTCAGCAGAATGGCTTATTAAAACCAGATTTTAGGGTATTATAAAATGCTTAGAAGCCCTTTAAAATGTCAACCAGGATCCCCAGAGACCGCGTAAAATGTCAGCCCAGCTCAAGCGCCTGTTTTAAGCAGAATGAATTAGCAGCGTGCTGTCGGAGGTTGTTATCCAAAACAATCAGTTAAGAGGGAAAACATCAAGCTCTCTTTGTACTTTCTATATGAAAAGGGCCATTCAGAATGATCTTGTAGATTTCTGAAGCTGATTATTTAAAAATGGGTTTAGCCAGGTCTACTCTCAATTTAGAAACAGACCAAAACTATTACTGCCCTGTCCTCAGTCTAATCACATCATACACCTCTGACCAGTATAATCCTTTTTAACCAGTATAAGGTTATTTTACCATCAACATAACCAATTTAGCCTTCTAATCCTGTTCCCATAACTAATCTAATCATCTCGTACCACCCTTTTAATCATGGGTTAATGTCGTCACATCTGCCATCCAAGGCCAATACTTTCTGCCTCTCCGACCAATTTATCTCATTTCCACTTGCCCCCTGCTAACTTTTCGTAATACCACTCTAATCAACCTAAACTTCAAACCTCTGGCCAGTCTAAACTCAGCATATTTACCAGCCCTGCAGCTGGTTAATGCTGCCATTACAATTGTGCTACATCTCTCAAGGTGTTTGCAAAACAAATGAGACTTGCAGCCCAGGTAAACATGTTCCCTGCTTCAGCTTTTACCCACTGGCCTGAGGGATGCTTAGGTCTTGTGACACAGTCTATCAGTAAAAATGCAACATCTCCAATTTGGTCACAGATGGGGCTTTTGCAAAACAGTAATTATTGGCCTCAGAGATCATCATTATTCACCTTCTGTATCATTCAGTGTGTCACAGAGGAGTAACTTAGGACAGAATGTGGCCCTGGGAATTGGAGCAAGTAGTGAAAAGTTGGAAGACTGTGGCATGAAATGCAGCAGATGATGTTCATGACAAATATTGCTTGGGATGTGAAGAGTAGAGGATATGGAAATTAGTTCTGATGTTTCTTTTTTTGATTTCAGGATTCTTTTCAGAATATTTAGAATAAAAGCACCTTGTGATAGAGATCATGTACTGAAGGGAAATTTAATATAACAGGAACATAATAAAAACAATTTAAAAGCATCTGTATAAAATAAAAGGATGCATTTTAGGATCTTTTCCCTATGGCCATTGATTTGAACAGAAAGTGCTATGTGCTACCCCATAGAATCTAGTTAGATGAAATATGTGGGCAAATAAATGATAGCAGTCCTTTTGTGCTTATTCAACAGCCTAATGAAATGAACTGCTTTTGTCTATTCAGTTTACGTATTTGCACCAAGACCACCACCACCATCTCAGCAATTAAAAAGATAGAAGAAGATTTCAGGTTATGGTTAATGTGTACCACTGGGCAGCACGGTGAAAGCTCGTATCACTGTTGTCCTTGATGGAGTCATTAAGTAGCAAAGTAGATGTTCTAGAGACAGTAATTCTGTTCTGTCAGGTGCTCAGCTCTATTCAGTCAAAAATTTTCTCGAGTTTTGCTACTGAAAGAACAGTGCTCTATCATTCTTACCTAGTATCTTGCTGATATTGGAGTTGTGCATGTCAGGGAAGGCTTGAAGGATCTTCCTCCGTTCATCTTTAGCCCACACCATGAATGCATTCATCGGGCGCTTGATATGGGGCTCATTGCTACCACGCCCTCTGGATTCCCGATAAATTCTAGACTCTGAAACTCCCGCACTTCCTAAAAAGAAAGAGAGAAACATTCCCAGCTTGTGTTTCATTATGCAGCTTCCTCTGCCATCAGTGACCTACGTCAGTGCTGCACATTCAATGAGTCAGCGTTCACAAGAGGTTAATGGTGTTTCTTCTTTTTACTTGAAGCAGTAGGAAATACCCTGTATTATATATTGTCTAGTTTTTAGTTATTCTATTGATTCAGTATCACATAGTATAGACTTGACGAAGAGTTTCAATTGTTTTTTTCAACACAAAGCATTAAACAGCTTTTCTAAGCCATCTTTTTACTACTTAATAATGTAAACCCAACACTTATCAATGTAGAGTTTCTTTTTACTTTCTTCCTTTCTTGCTTACTGAATGCTAGTCATATCATGTTATCTACCTTCCACCTTATTTGTGATGGGAAGGTTGTGATATATGGCAATATCAGGTGTTTCTTCTTAAGCAATTCTCTAACTAGCAAATGAACATTTACACATCTGCCTGTTTTTGTGCTTACTTCTCCATAACGACATAAGCAATAGCAGAGAAAGAAACAAATGTTACGCTTGCCTCATCAAATCAAGAAACTTCCTACAGATGCAGAGCATGCATCACATACGGATGAGATCAGGTCTGTAATTCATGGATTCACTGTGTGATCTCATTTACCCCACATCTATTTGCCTCCTTTATTCCCTGTTACCCTCAGAAATACACTCTGTCCAGTCTTGAGAAGTGCAGTGTACAGAAGAGAAGGCCAAAAATCACCTCCAGACTTAAAATACCGCACAATGAATCATTTTTTCCTAACTTGTTTCATAGCCACCTACTGCTAACCGCTCT